GAGGGCAGCGAATCACCCTCCCCTCCCCCCTTCGAGCGTGCGATAACCGCTGTACGAGAACTGGTTGTACATCCTCCCTTCAAACTAAGCTTTGAGGGCAGCGAATCACCCTCCCCTCCCCCCTTCGAGCGTGCGATAACCGCTGTACGAGAACTGGTTGTACATCCTCCCTTCAAACTAAGCTTTGAGGGGAGCGAATCACCCTCCCCCTCCCCCCTTCGAGCGTGCGATAACCGCTGTACGAGAACTGGTTGTACATCCTCCCTTCAAACTAAGCTTTGAGGGGAGCGAATCACCCTCCCCCTCCCCCCTTCGAGCGTGCGATAACCGCTGTACGAGAACTGGTTGTACATCCTCCCTTCAAACTAAGCTTTGAGGGGAGCGAATCACCCTCCCCCTCCCCCCTTCGAGCGACCTCCTTCAACTATGGTCAAGCCAGTTCCATTTTACGAAAGAAAAAAAAAATCGAGAGAAATCATGCAGCCTACCTTGGGCGCAACTGTTTTTCCTTGGTCGTTCACTGGCAAACCGAATCTAAACGAAATGAAGTTAACGAGTAAAGTGTAACCTCTGAGTAGGGTAGAGTGAGTTCTCTCTTTATCTTTCAAGCGAATAAATTACTGTACCTTTGTGCTCTTATCAAAAGTTTTTTCTTCGTTTCTTCATCAGCTATAGAGGAGATTCTAGCTCCCGGCGATGTTTGCCCGGTCAATCCAAATCTTAAATAAGGCGATTAAAGGTTTTTCTAAAAGTGCCCACGAAAAGGCGGACCTTTCAGCTCTTTTGGCTTTCATTTCCTTTTCGGAACTTACAGTAGCAAGTCCAAATCTGAAATTTATCGCATATAAAAACAAAAACATCGCTTAGACATACACTTACCGTTCAGCTCTTTTCGCCTTTGCAAGCGGATCGGTCACTGCAACTGGTAAACCGAAACGTTGGGCACGTTTAAGTTTCGCATCAAGAGCGAGTGGATCGTGAGGTGGTGTTATAGCCGCGGGTTTGGGCTGGAAACACATTTCCACTTGAAGGATTTCCGAATGCGGCGAAAAACATACAAACAAATACTACAATACAAAATAAGCCACATTCTAGTATTTTTTGACAACTATTTACATGAATTTGAGTTCAGCGACAAGCAGAAAAGATTGAAGAAAAAGTTGCATACCTTTTCTTTTTTATCAGGAGAAGATGTTGCAGGCTTTGGTTCCTCTGTTTCCTTGGCAGGTTCAGATACTTCGTCGATTAATTTCTCAGGTAGTACATCGTTGAGCACATCATCGTTTAGTAGGTCCTCTGCATGAGACAGTTCACAAATTGAGATTATCAGCGATTACATTATCCCTGCGTTCATCGGAAATTCGATACCGTGTGTAGGGATAAAAATGATTTTTCTTCCATTTCTACATAGCTTAATGGGCCCAAAGTTTGATTCTAGAGAAACCTATTTTGATTGTGTTCGCGGCAGAATCACGTAAGTGAAGCTAAGGAATGCTTATTACGACACTAAGTACTGTAAAATATTACCGTCTGGAGTAGATAGAGGATCACCATAGCCGCCGTCTTCACTATGGTTGAGAATCGCATCTTCTTCAGCCTAAAGTCATGATGATAGTTATTCTGAGCAACAGAAGGGCAGTGCATTAGTAAGCTGAAGTTAGAACGGCTACAACAACGGTCATGAAAATATTTTCTTTGGGGTAAGCTAA